CTACTTCCGTAGTGATACTGCCTTGGAAACCCAAGGAGGGGTCACTATGAGTTGGGGCTGACTCGACGGCAAATAACAAAAGCAACAACAACATAATTCCTAATGAAAGTTTGTGTTTGACATAGTGCCATAGCACAACCATATATTTTATATATGATTGTCTACTTAAATAAATACAATACATATTGTGTTAGACTGGGTTCTCTAGAGAAACAAAAACCAGCAAAGCTTATGTATATATAAAGAGAGAGATAAATTTATCTTAGGAAAATGGCTCACAAATGTATAGAAGCTAGCAAATGCAAAGTCCCTGGAGCAAACATCAGGCTGGAGGCTTTTCCCTCCAGGGGGCCAGGAAGCTCAAGGCTGGCAGGCAGTACACCAGCTGTTGACTCCAATGAATGACAAATCCAAGATCCCTATGGACTAAATTATGACATAGTGCCGGGGAGTTGATATACCCCCGAGGAAGGACTGAGAAAGTACACTGTTGGCCTTGCCAGCTGAAGACAAACTACTTCTGATGGTTTTTTGAAATTGGTATCAAGAAAAAGGCATTGGCCAGATCAATAGCTGCATACCAAGTACCAGGAGATGTACTAATTTGCTCAAGCAAAGAAATCACAGCAGGAACTGGAGCTGCAATTGGAGTCATCACCTGATCAAGTTTATGATAATCTACTGTCATTCTCCAAAGTTCATCTGTTTTTTGCACAGGCCAAATAGGTGAATTAAATGGGGATGTGGTGGGAATCACCACCCCTGCATCCTTCAAGTCCTTGATGGTGGCAATAATCTCTGCAACCCTTCCAGGGATGCAGTATTGCTTTTGGTTTACCATTTTTGTAGGTAGAGGCAGTTCTAATGGCTTCCACTTGGCTTTTCCTACCATAATAGCCTTTACTCCACATGTCAGGGAGCCAATGTGGGAATTCTGCCAATTGCTGAGTATATCTATTCTAATTAGGCATTCTGGCACTGGGGAAATCACGACAGGATGGGTTTGGGGACCCACTGGACCCACTGGACCCACTGTGAGATACACCTTAGCTAAGACTCCATCAATAACTTAACATCCATATACCCCCACTCTGACTGGTGGGCCACAATGATGCTTTGGGTCTCCTGGAATTAGTGTCAATTCAGAGCCAGTGTCCAGTAAACCCCAAGTCTGATTATTTCCTTTTCCCCAATGAACAGTCACTCTCGTAAAAGGCCTCAGATCCCTTTGGGGAAGGCTAGGAGAAAGACTGACATTATAGATTTTTGGCAATGTAGTGGGGTCCTTCCTCAAAGGGACCTGGTCCCCCTTCATTCAAGGGGTTGTGGGTCTGTAAACTGACTCTAGTCTGGGAATTGATTGAGAGGTCATGACTCTGTATTCTGGTGAT